CTCATTAAATGTTATACTGAAGTTTCACACTTCATAGTGTTAGGCTGATGTATGATGGTTGAGGGGGAGGTTACTACATAGTTATTGTCTTTTCCTTGAACCTTTTCTAATGTCCTTTCATTTCCACGTTTACTTTAATGTTCCAGAGAAAACATGTAGGATATAAATAAAATACCGTCTATCGTATTCAGCTGATTCTACTTGAAAGTAGAATGAAAACTTGAAAGTTGCCCAGCATTGAGCAACCATCCTACTGAAGTTAGGCTAAATAAACACCCATAGCTAGCCTATGTTATATAGCTTTTATTGTTCTGACGTCGAGTTGGCAGCAGCAAGCGTGCCTCTCTGCTTTAAATGATAAGTATAGACCTTTCGTTCTACTTGCAGAACTGTGTCTTCAGTTGCTCAGTGGTAATTTCTTCAACAACCGTGAAAGGTAACAATTTGTTAGCCGGGTTAAATAGTCAGGAAAAGCAAAGTTTTGCTTAAAGCTAGGATGGCATGGCAAACTCTATTTTTAAGCTTGCAGAGGGCCAAGCAAACAGACGGGTTATAACCTGTGTGTCACCCAGCACCTGGGCGGGTCGCATTAGGAGGGCTGCTTCTTCCACCAAGGTGTGAATTAATCACCGGTGTGACAGATGCAATGCATCAATTAGTACAGTGAAACTTTTAATTGATGAAGTACACTACACATAAGTATCAAAATCATGATTCAGCTCTTACCTTGACCTGTAATTAGACCTCAGTGTTTGCTTTTTATGTGAAACAAGGAGAAAATTAGCTTCAGTTTGTCTGTGATTAATCACTAATTTTCCAAAATGTTCAGTAATCTATACCTGTAAACTCAGGAAGAAAATTACAGCATTAATATGTAAAGAAACACCAGAGTCTCACATTTATTTAAATTAATCTCGTTCTACTGAAATGTTAGGTAATTAAAGACCATGGTAAATACACCATGGAAAGCTTTCTATATGCGCTCCAGGTTTTATTGCACAATTGTAAGCAGAACCCACCGAATATTTGTCATGTGTTCCTTTTATATGAAATCAAAGAAAAACTGTAATAGTCATCTGTACAAATAAAAAAATTGTTTATATTTAAGGTTGTTGTATTTCATTAGATATCTTTTTCCATGGGCAGAAGCTGCCATGCTCCACTCATTTTCTATCATCTGGTGAATATTTTCCTCACTGCAAAATAAATACAGTTGTGTTTTTAATCTTGCGGAAAAGCAAAATTTCATAGCAGTAAGAGTAAAAAAACTGCTGCAACAATGTAGCATTTTCAAATAAGAGCAGTTAGAGATTTGTAACCTTTTGCAATTCAAGCAGACCTGAGCATTTTTATTAAGGAGCCCTCTGAAAAAGGAGAGCAAGCTCTACTTGCAGACTTAAGGCTTACTATCATCATTGGTCTGTATGAGATAGCAAGCTAATTCTCCAGGTGTATTGATCCTAATTAGTAGTGCCAGTCGAAATAGTCATGAGAAAACTGCAAAGACCAGGGAATAATATTGTCTTCTCCTCCAGCTTCTTTATTACATGCCAAAAATGTTCAGCACTTTACCTTTAAGAATTCGCTTGAAGACATTAGCCAAGGTTGCTCCGGATTGCACATACCTGATTATTTATACATATTTGCACTTTGTAGCTAGTGCCAGAATATTATGAAAGGACAGATACATTTTATTTTTGCTGCAGATTTTTTCTTACAGGTAGCCAAAAACGGTTCTTTGAAAAATTATCCATTTACTGTGACAAATATGCTGAACAAATCCCAGTAACTTTTGTGCTTGGTAAGTACCGGTTACATGTGAAATTATTCTCCAACGCTGTCTCTGTTTAGGCATTTTGTGAATGTCCGTGCATGGAAGCATTTCAGAGCTGAGGGGCATATGGGAGGTTAGAGGCTCACAATAAAATCATCAGCTTCCAACAGGTCTCCTTAAATTCAAGGCGCTTTTGTCACATCAACATCTATGCTCATGTTCTTAACATACCAACAAAAGACTAAAGTTTCCATATATATATATTTATATATATAGTGCCCACTAACACTGATACATTGTGCCTGATCTTTCAAACCGCTAAATCCACTCAAGGTTTACTACAGAAGAGGAAATTTGGAAGTTCATGAGTATGAGATACTCAGCTGGAACGGGCCATTAAGTTGCAGTGTCTATTAAATAATTAGCACTGATTGCATCCTGGGTTTTGACGTGACTTACTGCATTTATTCTGGGAAATGTAGCAGCTTAGTGATATGAATAACACTCTGCAAACTAAATCAAAGTAACCTAAACAGAAATCCTGATAGGCACTGGACTTTTTTTTTCCTTCTAACCCCCAGGTTTCTATGTTACTTTGGTGGTGAATCGCTGGTGGAACCAGTTTGTGAACTTGCCGTGGCCAGATCGTCTGATGTTCCTCATCTCTAGCTGTGTCCAGGGCAGAGATGAACATGGGCGCTTGTTAAGGAGGACTCTCATGCGCTACGTGAATTTAACGTCTCTGCTGATCTTTCGCTCCGTGAGCACAGCCGTGTACAAAAGGTTCCCCACCATGGACCACGTGGTAGGAGCAGGTACTAGAGTCCTCCTCCCCAAAATTTCTTTCCTTTCCCTCAGAGGTGGGGGCACAGGGAGGGAAGGAGCCAGATTCATTTTTTCTTTCCTCTTTGGCCCCATGTGTGCCTCATACTAACTCATGTCAAAGCTACCACATTTTTGCCAGTGGCTTAAATGACATGCCCTTAGGTGTGCATCTTTAATGCTCTTTAAGTCTTCATCTAGCAACACTATAGAAATCAAATGAGTTTGAGACTCTTATGTGGACCTGCTTTCAGACATCATGGAGGCAACAGGCCTGTCCCAAACACATAGGCGTACAGAGGAGGTACAACATCCTCCAAAGCATGAAAAATAATGTAATTGCAATATAGTATGATGCAGTAGGAATGGTGACTTGCTATATGGCATTGCCTCGTGTCTCGTGTATCAGAGACTGATCTCTGCAGGCACTTCCCAAGTACAGCTTTATCTCAATTTATTTTAAGGAGATTGCATTTTAAGTAGATTGCACATTTTAATTGTTGTGATATACTTAAAAAAACCCAAGTCCAAGGGTTTTTTCTTTAAATTTACAATCTCACCTTAAGCTTAGTTTTTCAGAGATCAATATGCTAAGTATCAAGCGTGTCTTTATTTTCTGTTTGTTTTGATAACACAGCAAGTGTGATGATGGGGAAGAGAGTTCTATCATGTAAGACTTTGCTTGTCTATGAAGGACTGATTGCTGAGTATTTAAAGGCAAGCTGTGATGTCGTGCCTTCTGACTGGTGTGGTCAGTGTCAGGGATAGAACATCAGTGCAGAGATGTGGGGATCTGTTCCAAATAGGAGAAGTCATACGTTTTTTACTGAACGTCTTGCATTTCTTAAAATTATTCCTTTGGCAGAGATTAGTAAGCAAAGTTGTAGCAAGTTAAAATATGCAGTGTGTATATACATATACACATTTCAAGTAAGTATGAGAAGCTTTGGATATTAAAAAAAAATCCAGGCAGAATACACTGATCTTACTGAAAAAAATAATTTCTGTTGGATTCAATTGGATTTTGAAGTTCTCTTCCTTGTGCTGTTCAACAGAACTGTTTACCTGAGCCTGTGAGAGGTCAAGGAAGCTTCTGTCACTCTCCCCAGCAATCTGCTTCTAGTACGCACTGGAAAATTACAACATTTCCAGCAGGCTAATCCTCCTCTGCCTCCCTATTGCTAAAGACAATCTGTTCCAAAAGAGACAAAATGTCACAGCGTTGTACAAAAATTGTAGACTGGAGAATAAGTTTTGGTTGTTTGGGGTTTTTTTAACAGTGGAAAATATTCTACTATAAACGGTATAACTAAATATTGATAGTGTAGTCAGCTCTGTGGATTTCAGTACTTATTCTGTAGGTTTTAATGCATATTGTGCCACAGAATTTTTGTTGATGCAGTACTGAGCACTTGAGGGTATATTTTGCTCCTACTAACATTCAGTGATTAAGACAGTACTCTGCAATTATCCCCTCCCTAGCTCCCTATGGCATTACATATCAGACTGCATGGGAGTGCAGCATTTAATATGAACGTGAGTGGCAGAATCTGATACTTACAGCACAGTCATCATTGAAACAACTTGTGCCGATTTTGCATTTTGCTATCAAACTGAGAACTGCCACAGCGTAACCATTGCTACACATTTCTCTTTTCAGCAAATGAACTGCTTGAATTCATAGACTTTAAATCTGAGAACAGTATCATGATAATCTAGTCTGACTCATCCATAACACAAGGCATAAAAGCTTACTCACAACATCCTTTATCATGTTGCAATTTCTGACTGAGCTATAATACCTTCTAGGAATATAAGCAGCCCTGATTTAAAATTCAGCTGGGTATACTGGAGACTACACTGCATCCTCGGTGAACTGACATTCACAACGGTGAACTCACTGTTGAAAAGTGAAATTTTATCCTCAGTCTGAACTTGCACAGAGTCATCTTCTAGTCACCAGATTTTGTAATGGGTTTGGGTTGTTCTTTTTCTAATTAGATGAAAACACCATTTTTCTCTCAGTTCCCTGTTAGCAGAGTGCATAAAGGCTTGAATAAACTTAGGAGCTTCACCATCTGTAGTCTCTCCCTACAAAATACGGTCTTCAGTGCTGGATCTTCCTCCTATCTCTTTTCTGAAATTCTTTTTCATTTTTTAGCATTCTTTATGGAGCTGTAGGCAGTAGATGCATGTAGATTCATGACATTATGATGCTGACCACTGCGGCACATATGCCGTAAGCGTCAGAAGCCTAGCATCAGTCCTGAGCGTACCAATCCTGTTGGCTGCAAGGTGCAAGAGGGAAGTTGGATGCTCAAGAACACGAGTCTTAAAAAACATGAGTAATGAGCCAGCAGCTGGGCAGAGGGCAGCCCAAAACAGTTGAGAGGAAATGCTGAAGAGAAACATGAGCTGTGAGCCCAACTATATGAATACCTACGGACGGCTGAAGTTTGCAGTCCCAAACCCTCTACTGGAGTGAAGTACCTGAATTAATTCTCTCCCACGTAACACAGAAGCAGAAAGTAAAACTTTTATCTACTTGACCATTGTTAGTGCACTCTGGAGATGTGGGAGATGACCTCTTTTCAGTTCCTTCTTCTCTAACCACTAGCCTTCAGAGTGTTTGGCATGGGTGCCCTGAGCCAGCCTTGTCTCAAACCATTCAGTTTCAACAGGAGAACTCAATACTCCTTGAATCACTTGAGGGAGAGCATGAGTGACTTTTTCTAGACAGGCTTGTGTTCTCATCAATAATTTTCCCATAAGAGCACTTTGGCTGACGCTATTCACATTAGTGTCCTTTGATTCTTCATTGATTGCATCCCATGTCAAGCTTTTCATACTTTTGCAAGGATTCAGTGCCCTGTCGTTCCTTAGATCATCCTTTTCAAGATCTTGGCACAGTATTGGCCAAATATTTCCAGTTTTCTAGAACTGCTCCAGTCTTCCAGTGCTTGTCAAAACCAGCGTTCTTCTTCAGAGAGTTCCTCAGTTAATTCTTTGAATACTCTTGAATAAAAATAGTATGACCATATTTAGAAATAATTTAATTTTAATAACTGAGGTTTGATATACTCCCCTGTATTTAATGGAATATAAAGTGTTTCTTTACCGCTGCAATAACAGCAAGCAGTTCTGAACTGCACGTTGTTTGTATTGCCCTAACCTTCACCAGCGGTAAGAGCAATCCAGAATTGTTTCATATTTTCTGTGATAAGAATACTAGGCATTATTAATATCCATCAAAGAGAATATTTAATTAACATAAACACAAACACCTTAACTTTTAAAATAATTACAATTTGAATGTTATTGTTAAAAGAACAAGGCTTTGTTGAGCTTTTCTGAACAAAAAGGTACCCAGTTTAGTAGAGAGCTGAACTGATCCTTGGAGCTTTGCTGTTCTTCGTGACCCCCTCAGGCTGTGTCCTTCCAGATAATGACTTCCCAGACTTCAGGTGACTTGCATCCAGTGTTTACTCCAGACTGTCAATTTTCTGATATTCTGTCTGCCTGTTTCAGCCTGATAGAAACATCTTTTCTTGTAATAAACAGGTTGGCCAGCCAAAAATCAAAGACTGACTTTTAGGAGTCAGGAGCCATAACTAGCAGGTCAATTTGTCTGGTTGCTTGATTATTTCTGTGCAGTTGCTTAGGAGAGCTGGCTGCAAACTGCCCAGGGATCTTTTAAAAGCTGTATCTTATTCTGTTCTCAAATTCCAGGATACTGCAAGAGTACTGTGTCTTGCTGCTGAACTTTACCTCTTCCACAGATTTTTCTGTCCTGTCGTTGTGTTCCTCCTCAGTAGTTGCACTGCTGTGTTGACTTGTTGCAACTGTACAACAGTGGCATTTTCCTCAACAACAGAATATTTAAGGTTGCCATGTTTAACAAAGCTCCTTTTACCTTATTCACATTTTTATACCAAACACAACTGAGTTTGTGTATATTTATTTTTTTGCTGCTTTATCTATCATTAGCAATGTTAGTAAGAACGGGCTAATTCTTAGTTACTAGTTGGAGACTAGAAAAAAGATTCCTGTCTATTCTCAATTCCCTTATTGAATTTTCAGCACTCAAACTTGTAATTAATTGGCTGAGTCCCTTATTTTGGGACTGCCGTGTTATTAACTTTGTCCTGTTTCGGAGCTAATGTCAACACAACAGAAGAAGCCTTATACCCACCCTGGTAGCTGACACATACACCTGAGCAAAAACTAAGATCCCCCAAACCTGAAGATTGCTCCAATCCCAGAAAATCCAGGATTTGGACTACGGAAAATGTGACGTTCCCCCTCATGAATTTTCTGAGGTTGTTTTTCTCAAAGGCTGGGTGGAAGGAGGACAGAAGAGCAGAGCAGAGCTTTCTTACCCACGAAGCCCAAGGGGGTAGAGGTGCTGCTCCGAAAACCAGCTGCTCCCGTGCCAGTCCCAGGCAGCGAGCTGCTCTGGTGCAGGTTTTGTCCCACACAGCCCTGGCTCCCCTGCTGATTGACCTTGGACTTGCTTGCAGCAGCGGGAAGCAGGGCTTCGCAAGGCCAGGAGAACTCTGCAGGAAACCTAATACCTTCCCAGCACCCCGGCGAGGCAAATTGCCAGGCAGAGAGCAGCTTCAGCCTGCAACCCCACAGCACGTCATCTGGCTCGGTGTCCCGCTAGCAGCAGGATTTCTGTGCATGATTCCTTTTCCATCTCTTTGCACGCCTTCGTAACCCCAAAGAAAACATGAAACACAATCTGGCAGGGAAGTATTTTGCTGGCAGAAGGCACGCTCTCTGTTGAGCTCTGTTTCATGCATGCACTTGTATCCTCTGTCGCTTGCTCACTGCTTTGCAGATTTACCAAAAAATTATCAGACTCAGAAGGTCACGTAACTGCCCTTACAACATATGTTGAGATGCTGCTAAAAGCCATCATTGCTGAAAAGTGATAGCTTCTTGACTGTTCTATCCAGTTCCTTATTTTTCTGAAAGTAGAATATGAAACTAGAGAGTAATCTGTATTTCTTAGTATTATATGTATCTTTTTTCATTTCTTAGTATTATATGTATCTACAATATGTCAGCAGTCAGATATGAGAACACAGTAATAGCAAATTATTGCATATATTGATCAAGAGGCATTTTGTGTAGGCAGCTGTTGCAAAAAGAAGTTGTTTCAAGCAAGATCTATCCTGGCAAAGAAGCTCAAAAAAGAAAGAGGAGGCTACTAGTTAGAGTTATAAATAGTGTTTTGCATAGTTCTATGCAAATTTCACATAAACAGATTCAAACATATTCAAAATTTATAATATCAGTAGCACTGAAAGCACAGAATAAATGAAGTCTTTTTTTTGGGGGGGGTAAACAGGTTTTATGACAAGATATGAAAGAAAAATCTTTGATGACCTTAAGTCTCCCCACCTGAAATACTGGGTTCCTTTTGTCTGGTTTGGGAATTTGGCATCGAAGGCGCGAAAAGAGGGAAGAATTCGAGACAGTGTAGATCTGCAGACACTGATGAACGTAAGTAGAAAAAGTAAATCTACAGAAAACTGTACCACTTTTTTCTGTGTACCGATGTACACTCAAGCACACACAGCAGCAGTTTGCTGGTATTGTATTTATATAACTAAGAAGGTATTAACTGAAGCAACAAATTGATGAGTAAAAATTATTGTAACATCACTGTAAATTCACACTTGTTCCATTGCTGGAGGGAAAAAAAATGAGAATAATTTGACATTTTGAAGATTTTAATATCAGTTTCAGGGAAGATAATCTCCCTGAATATTTCATTAAGTGATCAAACATCCTTTTTATGATATAATATATTCTCTTTCATGTATCACTAGACTGTGGATAAGATAGAAACAAAAGATAATTTGTGAAGAAATATGTAATATTCTAAGCATTCCAACTCCATAAACTAAGTGAATATTCAGATGTGACAATGGAGTGCTGGATATAGTTATGGTATCAATTTATATATACTACACTTTCATATGTCCCTGTCCTTTTAGATTTGCAAAAATGAACTGCAACAAAATATTTATAATTTAGAATTGAACCCCATGCAATTTTAGGTTGTTGGGGTTTGTTTTTTCTTTTTTTTCCTTTTAGGAGATGAATAAGTACCGGTCTTGGTGTAGCCTTTTGTTTGGTTATGACTGGGTTGGAATTCCACTGGTCTATACGCAGGTACTGAGCTATTACCCTTTACAAAATTCAAAACACAATTTCCATAAAAGGGCAGCTCGACCAGAGTCTCCGAGCTGTTGAGCACTCGTTGACTCCCACAGGATCATGGACGCCTGGCTAACTATTTAAGTCATATTTAATGCAGAGATGTTTTGAAGGCCTTGCACAATTTGGGAGAGGGGATGGAAGCACTGAAATGTTTTTATGTTTCTTGGGTCTTCTTCCTGGCTATAATTATTCCTGTGGCCTCTCATGTAATACCTCCCTACAGATTTGTAAATTATATAGCAAAAGGCAGTCAGAGGCCTTTGGGTGTGTGTCGCCTTATGCATAAGATTGTATTATTGCATGATTTCAATGAAGTTTTGTTCTTTGCAGGTTGTTACTCTTGCAGTCTATACTTTTTTCTTTGCCTGCCTGATAGGGCGCCAATTTTTGGATACTGACCAAGGGTATCAGGGACATGACTTAGATCTTTACATTCCAATCTTCACACTGTTACAGTTCTTCTTCTACGCAGGATGGCTCAAGGTAAACTAGCTTTCTGGAAATGTCATGGGGGAACCCTCCTTAGGGGAGCTGGTGAAGGTGTCAGAGCTGAAGTCAAGGTGTCAGATTTGTGGCACACTGTAAAATCACCGAAGATTAATGAAGTTACACCAAAGCCTAATTCAGCCCAAAGTGTCCTGTGGTCTTAAAGAAACATCATGCAATACATTTTTAATTCCACCTGACAGATCTTACAGTAAGAAACGGTTGGGAACCTGAAAGAGCTCGTTTTAGTAGGACCAATGCAGCCACAAATCCCCAAGGGATTTTGCTGGGACTCTAGCAAAATCAGGTCCCAGGACTTGGACTATAAAATGACAGATGAAAGATTAAAAAAAAAAAACAACCTTTCTCCCACTCCACTGTGCAATGGGGAAATACTGCTGCAGACGTGGCATGGGCCGAAAGGGACTGAATCATACTTTCTTCTTATGATGAAAGCCAGCATTTAATATCTGCTGTTAGCTTAATCAGATGCAGGCAATTAAAGATCTCCAGTTCCAGAGGGCTATCAAACAGTGACAGCCAATATTGGCTACAACCCCACTGCATAAAAACGTTCATTAAAAAGAAGAGTTATAGAAGGAATTGGATGCTACCCATCAGCCCATTGATGCCTGCTCAGTTAACATATCGCGATCTGATAGTTGAGTAATTAAGCCACATACCTCATAGCAGTTGTCTCCTCTGCAGTGAGTATCGAGTATTCCAGTGACTAACTGGAAAAAAGTCTCAAAGAAAAAGCAAATTGGTACATTAGGGTCTATGTGCATTAAGATTTCCTTTTGGGATTATTAATTGTGGCTGGAAACTTAGAGCTAACTTTTCTGTTAGAATATAAATTGCACAAAATTGGCCAATTTTAGAGCCCCCTTCCCATGGCCAACTCCAAAGGGCAGAGCAGAGAAGGCAGCACACAGAGCTGGTGGATCAGGGAGTGTGGGAGGAAAGTGAAGTGCCTGCAGGGCAAGCTCCTCTAGTCCTGTGTCCTAGGAAATCGGGGGACGTGGTGGGGGAAGGGGTTTGACGCATGGGGACCAGCCTGGAGGAGAGCTGGAGAGAGAGGAAGGGAGGCTGGTGCAGCGGGAGGAGCACGTTGCTCCTGCAGAAATGTGAGGCTTTATCGCTAGGCAATGTCTTCCAAGGTTTTACTAGCAGGTTACAAAACTGTAAGCTGTTCCTCTTGACCGCTCTGCTGGTGCTCCTGAGGGGGGAAAGGTTTCCCCTTCATCGCCACCCAAGGCTGTTAGTAGCGTCTCTTCCAGTTAGGCTCAGGGCTTCCAGCCAACTCCTGGCTGTGGCAGGTACGAGACGCCATTGTAACTGAAAAATCTTCTGCATAAAGAAATGAAAGGGAGGAGATGCAGTTTTAAAAAGCAAATTTAATATCAGCAGTGCTCCCTCAGACCAGAGGTTTGTCCACACCTGCAGTGCCCCCGAGTCAGGATATTTCTGTCTTGAAGGTTAAAAAAAAATGCTGAGAGTGTTAGGCTTTGGCTGCCAGGCTGCAGAAAGGGCCCCGAGCTATTGACTTCCAGTAACTTGGCAATTCCTCAGAAATGATGGCTAAACTGAGCTCGTTCCTTGGCCTTGGGCCTGGTTTGTTATACCTGCAATACAGGGGCAAAGTTTCCCATCACGTGAGACACTTCTAAATCCCTATTTTCATTATGAGGATAGACGGACCATCCAAATACAGGGCTTAGTTGTCCAGCACTACATTCCTTTCCGGAGAATAAAGTTGTGCCTCACATGCTAGGACCAGGTCAGCTAAGCAAAAGGCCACCGCTGCTGTTCCCTCTGTCCCAGCCCTGCTCACATTTTTTAGCTCATGTGATAGGTTTTGCAGTGGATTTTTGGGCGGTGATCCCCTGGTTTACACCGAGTTGATCTAGTGTCTTCCCTGGAGACCTGCAACGCAGTCTGCGTTCTGGCTCATTCCTATTGCAGCACTTCCATAACTATACCCAAAATTTAATGCCACGGGCCAGGCCAACGAGTGTGAGCAGAGATGTCCCCTGTCTTCTTTTTGTTCCTCCTGCCTTATGGGTGTTTTTGTCATGTTAGTCTGCTCAGCAGTTCATTTGTTGTCTTCCACTGCTGGCCTGGGAAGTGGTGGCCTAGGAGAGTCAGCAAGTACTTACCTGCTGGTACTACCTAGAGGCACATAAGAATAAATAGCCAGGGAGTGATTCCCTTACTATTATAAGTTGTTTAGATGATAGCTGTCCATAGCGAGGTTCACGAGCAGGGCTGTTTAATCATACAGTCGCTTCACCCATACCCACGTTAAACCGAGGACCTGGCCACTGCTTCTGCACATGGCCCTGCTGACCACCAGGAAGGCTTGGGAGGGTCAGCAAGAATGTGAGCAGCTTCAAAACCGGGGCTTAAAAAGACAAACAGAAGGAGAAAAGCATGAAGGGGAGAGGATATTTAACCTCAGTGTACCAAGGAACTGAGAAATAGAGCAACAGACTGAATTTCCTAAAACTTTTTTTTTTTTTTTTTAATTTTCCTATTTAATCTTTTTTTTCTCTCCCAGCAGCTATGAGTTTTCTCCCCACAATGTACTTTGGTGATCATGGGGATGGGGGGGGGGGGGAGCAGTTTCTGGTTGTTTTTCCATTTATTTATTGCTTTAGGGGGAGGCAGGACTGAACAAGGCTATTGGCAGCCAGAGAGGTTTCCTTTCCCAGCCTAGCTCCCAGACTAAGGCGCCTCACCACAAAGGTGCCTGAGCTCACTGTTTGGTTGTCTCCTCTGCAGGATGGGCTTCTCGCCTGCAGTTTTAATCACTTCATGTACAGACACCCAAAACAACAGGCTGAATGAAAGAACAAACTCAGATCCTGTGTCTTGGCTTTGGCTAGCATGATGCACGGTGTCCACTTCAGTCAAGTCTTTTGGTGGGCTGCTTTTCCTGAAAAGCTTCAGAGGGATGCCATCAGCACCACCCCCGGTAAACAAGCAGGGGCTAAGGGCTGAGCTGGAGGGATGAGCTGTACTCCTTCCGGCAGACTGCAGCTGCAGGGCTCGGGAATACTGACCCAATGGGCTGGTGGAGTATCGTAGACCATAATGCAATAACGGAGCCTCTAGCTGCTAAACCATTCATTTAAATCAGCCAAAGACAACAGTAAGGAAAGGTAACGACTATCTTATGTGACAATTACTGTGGCCCAGATATGTCTCAATTCCCAGTAGGCCAGGGCCAATAATCATGATTGACAGCCCCAACAAGGCATGGAGGTATGAATCCATAGGGAAAGCAAGATGTTCCTTCGCAAGGCTGGCAAAACCGTCATACGGGAGCTCAAGCTATGATTGCAAGTGACAGGCAGGGAGAGAGAGAAAAATCCGATCCTATTTTCTCTGCGGCAGCAGTCCTGACATAGCATGCCAACTGCTATTCACTGTCTTATTTTCCTTTCAGGTCGCTGAACAACTTATTAATCCATTTGGAGAAGATGATGATGATTTTGAAACTAACTGGTGCATCGATAGAAATTTACAGGTTGCTGTTGTTATTTCTACTTCCAGCTTTACTGTACCATAGGTTATCATTACATTTAATCCTATTTCTTATATTGAGGTACAAATTAAGGCCAACAAGTGTCAGCAAAGCAAATTCTTTCCCTGAATGAGTACCGATCGCTGTGATCCCCAGATTTTGTTTTTATAAGCTAAATGCATCTTGATTTCGGCATTTGGCATTTATGATGCCTGACTAAACATGCAAACAGCTGACCTCAAACTATAAGCTCACTTTATGCGTGGAAAAACACGTAATGTAGGTCAATCCTGCAAAATCCAAAAGCCATCTATTACCACATAGATAAGAACACGTTTTGCTAAGCTGAATATCTAGAGATTACAATATTGTATATGAACCTTCCTTTAAAAAAAAAAGGCAGTGAAGATACAAAAAATACCAAGCAGGGCCCTGAACTAATAAGCAGGGCCCATACCATGATTCATGTTGTGATGCTGCCGCCCACGGCAGCATCTGTGGTCGGCACAGGAGCCAGTATCCTCAGTGACAGGAGCTGTGAGATGGCCAGGGTACAGATTTGTTTCAGTTGCCCCTGATTCCCAAACAGCTCTTTCCTGTCGTGAAAGAGCCCAAAGACATGAAGAGGTCCCACGGCACCCGCTGCTCCCCTTGCAGGTAGAGCCAAACATGGGGTTGAGCTGCTGTCAGACCCCACGTCTGCTGGGGACCACGGAGACTGCAAAGCAGAGCCCAGGTGTTAGAGGGAGCAAGGGCAGGGCAAGCAAACGAGCATATTAAGCAAAGCAAGCAATGCAGGTACATGCAGGAGTGGGAAAGGCCTTCACGCTGCCAAAGATGCTTTCTGGCTTAACACCACTTCAGGCTACTCGTGCTACGGTGCCTCAGAGCCCTTTGTATAAAATATATGGGAAGGTCCTAAAACAGGATGGTCACATACTTGGTTCTGAATGTCTTAAAACGTGGATGAAGCATATCAGAAAGCTTCTTGACCTCTGGACATTTTAAGGAGCACAACTTATTCTCTACACAGATGTCCCATAGCAGGTGGAGGATCACATGTCCATTTAACTACATCATGCATGAGGACAGGACTTCAATCTGATGCAAATATCTTTGCAGCATAGAAGACAAGTTACAATAAAATTTATACTTTCATGAGTATAGGGGGTATATTTTATAATACTAAGTCTCTTCCCAATGCCCAGGCCAGCATACACAGCTTACTTTAATGGGTTTGTGAAAGAAATGTTGACCCAGGGAGTACAAAGCAGATTATCTTGTATACTGTACTATGTTGAAAGTGACATGATTTATACCAAAAAAATCTAAGGTCTCACTTCTGGCGGTGGATGAGATGCACATGAACTTACCAAGGATGGAGAAAGATATTTACTGGAACGATTCCTCTGCCCGGCCACCCTACACAAAAGCAGCTGCTGATTACTGTATTCCTTCATTTCTTGGATCGACTATTGAAATGGGGTGAGTGGCACTAAAGGTCCTTAATGCCATCAGAAAGATCACCACCACTACAGCCCACGTTGACTGACGGACAGTCAGCACAGGGCTGCGGGCTGTGACGATACTGTGAACAGGGAAGATGGAGATGGGAAATGATGTTAGGAGGGAGTGGACAGGCTGGTGTTGGTAGGACGATGACTCCAGTGGTCCATGTGCTCATATGAACTGTGCACCCATAGCTTAAACTGTGTAATTAATAAATAGAGTATGTTTCCAGGGAGGAATTGTTGATAGTTTCTGAGCACAGGATGGCACCTGAAGATAACGACTGACTTCTCTTAGTATTTTTTTATTTACTACAGCTTCTTCATACACCCCCCAGTTAGCAAAATATCTATTCCTTTGCTTGTTTTGTTAGCAGATGATAGCTAAAATCAGTCCAGATTTTTGTGAAGATAAACAAGAAATTATCTTAAACGTCATATGACTTTTCGTTGGCTAATAATCTAGGCATGGAAGTTGGAGCGATGAGATTTTGTGAAGAAATAAAGAAGAGGAGTTATTTGCAGAGATCAACACAAGAACCATCCTTATAAAGAAACATATAGAATATATAGGATTGCCCTGTGTTGTCAGGACCTGTATGAGAAATCAGTGATAGGCCAGTCAGCTTAGAAGCTGTTGAGTTTAAACACTCGTGACGTGCTGTACTATAGAACAGGTCAGTAAGTGTAAATACCACCATGCCTGAACAAATACCAGGACAAGTAGACATTTTTATCTGAAAATCTTTTTTAAAACTTTATAGTAGCTTTTTTTTTTTACTTTAAAACTTATCTCAAGAAGTTTTCAATTTTTCAAAAATTTTCCAGCCTTTATCAAAATAAAATGTGCTTAATTTTTTGCTTCATTTGGCCTGGAAATTGGTGTTTTCTCACTTTTCTTCCTCTTATTTTTCCATTTTTGCATGCATTCTAGTACAAAGACCAATGGTTTATATGAGTCCCTTTTATCACACACAGCCTTTTCAGAATTTATTTCCTTCTGGAAAAAACTATAAAATGGCCAAAAGAAAAGTAAAGACAAAAGTAAAACAGTAAAGAAGAAAAACCCATAAAATATAATTTATTTTACTGTAATTGCTAGGGGGAAAAAAGTGGCAAAGAAAAGAAGAAACATTATTAAGTCTGCAAACAATATTTTAGTAAGAAGCACTTCACATAAAAAATGAAGGGGGGAGTGAATGAAAAAAGTTCCATGTTAGCCCCTGTGAAATGCAAAAGGCTCTGATGCATTGACTTTTTTTATTAATTATTTTCTCCTCTGAACTGTTTCTCTGTTCATTTCTCTAAAAAAAATGGGTAGTTCTTATGCAGACTTCAAAAACAAGGTCTAAATCATAGAATAGAATCATAGAATAGTTTGGGTTGGAAGGGACCTTTAAAGGTCATCTAGTCCAACACCCCTGCCATGGGCAGGGACATCTTCAACTAGACCAGGTTGCT